ACCGTGGTTTACTACTGAACTACGTCGTGAAATTAGAATTAGAAATAGATTGCATAAAAAATTAAAAAGAGTTTTTTCTATAGAGAATTTAGCTAAATTTAAAAAACATAGAAATCATGTCAACAATCTCAAACGTAGAACAAGAGAACTTTTTTATGCTGATATTAATGGACTTTTAGATAACTATGCAAAAACTAATCAAAAGAATTTTTGGAAACTGGTTCGGAGATTAACTAAAAGTGCAGATGTATCTTACATTATACCTCCTCTAAAAGACCCTATTACTAATTCTACTGCAGTAGATGATGAACGAAAAGCTAATATTTTAAATGACTATTTTGTGTCTATCTCTACTATAGACGACTCAGGTGTACCTTTACCACAAGTTGATATGAGAACCCAAAGTCGCATAGATAATATATTTTTTACACAAGCTGATATTGTTGACATCCTTAAGTCTCTTAAATTAGGTAAAGCTGTTGGATATGATAAAATTAGTCACCAAATGCTTAAAAACACAGCTCTTTATGTTTCATTTCCGCTATTTCTTATATTCAGAAAGTCTCTTGATCAAGGAATTTATCCCAATTCCTGGAAAAAAGCTTTAGTCATGCCCATTTTTAAGAAAGGCGATAAACAATGCCCCAGTAATTATAGACCAATAGCTTTATTAAGCACTGTAGGGAAAGTTTTTGAAAAAGTTATTACAAAATTTCTGCATAATTATTTATTAGAAAATTCATTGTTATATAAATACCAATCTGGATTTCAGCCAGGTCACTCAACAGTACATCAACTAATTGAAATTTATCATAATGTATGCATAAATCTAGAAAACCGTCATCATACCTGTCTTGTTTTTTGCGACATTTCCAAAGCTTTTGATCGGGTTTGGCATGCAGGTCTTGTACACAAATTAAAAAGCTATGGAATTAATGGAAATCTTTTAGACTGGCTATCCGATTATGTACAGAATCGCCATCAACAAGTCTTCATCCACAATTTTACTTCTCATACCAAAACAACTAATGCTGGTGTACCCCAGGGTTCTGTCTTAGGTCCGCTTCTTTTTCTCTTGTATATCAACGATATAACTGATAACCTTGTCAGACCTTTCCGTCTTTTGTTGATGATACTTCCCTATCCGTCTCTTCTCCTTCCGCAATTGAACTTGAAACTACTACTAACCGAGATCTTGAAAAAAATCATAACTGGGCAGAAAATTGGCTTGTTAAATTTAATCCTAATAAAACTGAAGCACTACTAATTTCAAATACCAATGCTGAGCTTGATGTCAATCTCATTTTTAATAATGTTAATATTGATTTTATTGAACATCATAAACATCTAGGCAATTTCCTAGATGCTAACTGTAAATGGACTCACCATATTGATAACATTTGTAAAACTGTTACGAAACAAATAGGAATTCTCCGCAAGTTAAAATATACTTTAAATCGCAAGACATTAAACAGAATTGATCTTACTTTTATACTCCCTCTGCTTGAATACTGTTGCGCAGTTTAGGACGGTTGTACAACTGCCGATGCAAATAAACTTGAAAAACTCCAGTTAGAAGCGGCGCGTATTGTCACCGGCCTGCCATCTTTTGCTAGTAGAGCGTCTCTTTACTTCGAAACTGGTTGGGAAGTCTTGTCTCAACGTCGCACCCGCCGCAAACTTCAACTTTTCTACAAAATTCACAACAATATGACTCCCTCTTACCTAACTGACCTTCTCCCGCCACTAGTAGCTACTTTAACTCCTTATAATTTGAGAAACTCTGAGAACTATTCCATTCCTAATTTCCGCTTACAATCTTCACTCAACTCGTTCATACCTTCTACTTTAAGACTATGGAATGAGCTTGACACTAATATTAAAACTGCACATTCTTTTAAGAGCTTCACAAACTGCCTCAAAAAACAAAATGAAACATTTAAAGTGCCTGTTTTTTATTTAGCCGGTGACCGTAAGTTAAATATTTTACTAACCAAACTCCGTCATAAATGCAGCCCTTTAAATGATGATCTCTTTAATGTTAACCTAATCAACTCTCCTATTTGTGCATGTGGATATCCTAATGAAAATGCTCATCATTTCTTTTTTACATGCAGTATATATACTGATCAAAGAGTTGAAATGTTTAGAAATCTTCATGAATACTTACCTCTAAGCTTAGAGAAATTATTGTATGGCCATGAAGATTATTCGAGTGACGAAAATAAAAATGTATTTATATATGTCCAACAGTATGTATCGAGTACTCGCAGGTTTTAAATTTGGTCACGTTCTTCTGTCTCCTCTCCAACAGTCCTCATTATCTTTCATATTCATTTCTTAGCTTGTGTACGTATTACATGGCATAATGTGCACTTGTGTGTTCCTTATTATTTTAGTAATCCTCTGTAATGTTTAACTTTCTTTTAAGTGCACGAGAGCGTGAATGCAAGAAGTGTGCGTGTGCTTGAATGTATGTAATATAGGCATGTGATGGGCCACTCAGTTACAGCCAGTGCGGTAGAAACGAATTTTCGAGAAAGGATTGAATGAAAAGGAGAAAGCCACAAAGCACGTGACGTGACGAACTGTTGAAAGTATGGAATAGTGCCAGGATATCACTGCGCTGACTATGCTGGATGGTTCCATTTTCATGACCAAATTTCAAAATCTACCATAATTTGTAAATAAAAGTAAGAATGAATGTGTGCATTATATGTTGAATATTAAGATGTACATTATATAAACTGCAATGCATAAGTAATAATCTCGAATCGAATTTGGTTTGAGACTACAATTTTGAGCATTTACGAATCTGTGTCTACACAACNTCTCTCTCTCTCTCTCTCTCTCTCTCTCTCTCTCTCTCTCTCTCAATAATAGATAAATGTAGTGATTTAAACTATGAAAGACATCTTATGATGTGTATATACAATTATTTATCTTATAAGGAAAGGGCGTTAATAATGTTCATGTAACTTGTGCCCAATCCTCTTGCATTTTTTGGCAATAAAATATGTTTAAACAAAGACGGACGGTGCCCGTTTCTATTTCCCCACCAATGTCATTGAGAGGAGATAATAACCGCACAGTTGGCTATTTAATTACCTCATATGTATTCTCGTGTTTACCTTGGTTTTTTAAGTTTCAAGTTGTTTTTTCATTTCCGAATGCAATACAGCATATAGGTTAAATGTATACATAATACACAAAACATATTTCAAATTTCAAGATGGCGGAGGACAATTCCATATTAGCATTTATCACACAAAAATGAATTCATAATTTAGTAATACCACTACACGAGGGTTTTATTTTGGCGATATGTAAAACATATGTATAGACTAAGCTGTTAATGTTATTATTACATCAATATTAACTACCGACAAAAAGACGAAATCTAAAGACCGGACACATTTTACAGTGTAAAGGGGGGCCAGGAGAGAAATTGGTGAAATGCCATCTTTGTGATGTGGAACTCACGCCAAAAAAGTTGCATGTATTGTCATTTTAAGAACGCGATTTCTTAATGTGAAACTACAGAGAAGATGCAAATATCCAGGGGCGGAATTGTCGATGAAATCATAATTTTCATCCAAAATGTAACCATATGCATTTTCGAGTTGCAAAAACGTGTTCCTCTTTATTCTTACCGTTGTTGTAAGTTATTTTAATTTATTGTGCTTACTTCCGTTGTTTCTGTGTTGATGATTGTATTTTCATGTACGTGATTAAACTAACTTGTTAAATACAGAATATATGTAGTGAGGAACGTTTCCCCTGGTTAAGATACTACGTATTTGTTGATATTTATTGTTTATCACGTTGACCGATTGGCCTGTTGGTCGGTCTGATGATGTTTTGAGAAACCGGTAACATACATTCGACCGGTTTGACAACCTTAGTGGAGATATAGCTGAATATGTCTTTGTACGAACAGTTGTATCAGCTTATTCCATCATCCACAGACCGATTCAATGAAGGTTGAGTTGGCAAGAATCTCTTCCCAGTCATCAACAACCTGCTCTTCCTCATCTCCATCAATCCTCTCACTGTAGCTGTGGATGTAGGCTATCAACATCACTCCAGCCACTATGACTGAAGACGAAGATGAGTTCCCTATATCCAACAATTGTCACTTGGGGAAACGTTATAACCATCAACCCAGCTACTGGAGCGGGAGACGAAGATAAGTTGCCTCAATCCGACAACTGTCGCTTGGGGAAAACTAATCAGCATCAGCTCAGCCACTGTGGCTGAATGTGAAGATGATATCCCTGTACGATTGTGTTTTCCATCCACTCGGCCGGTGTAGCAATTAAATCATTGATCACAAAACTGGCAACTGTATTTAAGAACCATGTTGTCTATTTAAAGTTTACTATTTTCTTAAATGTGTTTGAACAGCGTTCAGTCATCCTTTGCCAATTCGTGCGTAAAATCGTGGCGTTATAACAAATGGTGAGGGTAAGGAAACACAGACACATGAGAAAAGCACACTCTTTTACCTTATGGGCTGTTTGTGTTGGAGTTTTATAATAAACTCCAAGAAAACAATAACCTACAAAGATCCTATAATTGATTCCATCCACAGCTGAGTCAACAAAAACAATCACTTGCAATACGTCATTTAAGGTTATCTATTTAAAAATGTAGTTTGCTGATGCAGAAATCAAGGGAACAGACAGAAATCAGGTCACTTTATGATTATTTTATCCATTTAGGAATGATATGTACCAACGTCATAAGAACGAAAATCCATGACAAAAGTCTTCCAAACCATGTGGAAATATAGCAAAACTAGAATTTCAACTACAAGGTAAGGCCAACCTCTTGAACTGTTACTCTATCATTCAGCCAGTAAATTAAAACATCTTGTTCCGTACATCGATCACTAGTAAAATAAGTAAGGAAACACCTTATCAAAATGAAAATTTGGTTTGCTGATGTTCTATGACGAATATAAACCGATCAGGATTCTTCAAGAAAACAAACATGTCTTCCTTCTTCATCTTCGTTTTATTCTCTCTCAAATTACCTGCTGTCTAGGAGAGTTTCATACAAAAGCGAAATCGAGAGTAAAGCATTTCAACTACGATGAAGTGTATATACGTTCAGATAAAACACGAGACAACATAAATAGATGTGAACTTGAGGAGGAGTTCCGATCACGCGTGCATCTGTCCCGAGAATCCTTGAGTATCATCAGTCATCCGCTTTGACTGCAACTGCTGAAAAAGAAAGCAGATTTCGCGAAAATAAAGTTTTACTTCATAAATTAAGTCAGCGAAATCTTTGCTTTGTAAATAAAGTAACTTAAACCTCTTTGAAGCTAAGCAAATATTCAACAAGATACCTGACTGACTTATTAAATCAAATTAAAACATTTCTCTCAAATTGACTAAACAGAGACATTATTAAAAATGCTAATTTTATCAATGAAAATGATGGCGGCCTGTGACTAATATACAAACCAGGCCAGGAGTTCATACTGCTATGACTATGACTAGGGAGGTATACTTATATTATACTTTATACTTAGCCCCGCGACTAAGGCGATAAACTTGCATTATGATATATACTTAACCCCGCGATTAGGGAGATAGACCTGCATTATACTATATACTTAACCCCACGACTAGTGAGATAAACCTGCATTATAATATATACTTAACCACGCGACTAGGGAGGTATACCTATATTATAATTTATACTTAGCCCCGTGACTAGGGAGATAGACCTGCATTATACTATATACTTAACCCCGCGACTAGGGAAGTATACTTATATTATACTTTATACTTAGCCCCGCGACTAAGGCGATAAACTTGCATTATGCTATATACTTAACCCCGCGACTAGGGAGGTATACCGACATTATGATATATACTTAACCCCGCGACTAGGGAGATAGACCTGCATTATACTATATACTTAACCCCACGACTAGTGAGATAAACCTGCATTATGATATATACTTAACCCCGCGACTAGGGAGGTATAACTATATTATAATTTATACTTAGCCCCGTGACTAGGGAGGTAGACCTGCATTATGATATATACTTAACCCCGGGAATAAGGCGATAAACTTGCATTATGATATATACTTAACCCCGCGACTAGGGAGGTATACCGACATTATAATATATACTTAACCCCGCGACTAGGGAGATAAACCTGCATTATAATATATACTTAACCACGCGACTAGGGAGGTATACCTATATTATAATATATACTTAACCCCGTGACTAGGGAGATAGACCTGCATTATGATATATACTTAACCCCGCGACTAGGGAGATATACCTATATTATAATTTATACTTAGCCCCGTGACTAGGGAGGTAGACCTGCATTATGATATATACTTAACCCCGCGACTAAGGCGATAAACTTGCATTATGATATATACTTAACCCCGCGACTAGGGAGGTATACCTATATTATAATTTATACTTAGCCCCGTGACTAGGGAGGTAGACCTGCATTATGATATATACTTAACCCCGCGACTAGGGAGGTATACCTATATTATAATTTATACTTAGCCCCGCGACTAAGGAGATAAACCTGCATTATGACATACTTAACCCCGCGACTAGGGAGATATACCTGCATTATACTATATACTTAACCCCACGACTAGTGAGATAAACCTACATTAGAATATATCTACCTAACCCCGCGACTAGGGAGGTATATCCATATTATTTATATATAATATATACTTAACCCCGCGACTAGGGAGGTGGACCTGCACTATGATATATACTTAGCCCCGTGACTATGGAGGTAGACCTGCATTATGATATATACATAACCCCGCGACTAAGGAGATATACCTGCATGACAAGATGTATTAACTTTAGGGAGGGAGACCTACATTATGATATATACTTAGCCCCGTGACTATGGAGGTAAACCTGCATTATGATATATACTTAACCCCGCGACTAAGGCGATAAACTTGCATTATGATATATACTTAACCCCGCGACTAGGGAGGTAGACCTGCATTATGATATATACTTAAACCCGCGACTAGGGAGGTATACCTATATTATAATTTATACTTAGCCCCGCGACTGGGGAGATAAACCTGCATTATGACATACTTAACCCCGCGACTAGGGAGATATACCTATATTATAATTTATACTTAGCCCCGTGACTAGGGAGGTAGACCTGCATTATGATATATACTTAAACCCGCGACTAGGGAGGTATACCTATATTATAATTTATACTTAACCCCGCGACTAGGGAGATATACCTATATTATAATTTATACTTAGCCCCGTAACTAGGGAGGTAGACCTGCATTATGATACATACTTAACCCCGCGACTAGGGAGATATACCTGCATTATACTATATAATACTATATACTTAACCCCACGACTAGTGAGATAAACCTGCATTAGAATATATCTACCTACCCCCGCGACTAGGGAGGTATATCTATATTATCTATATATAATATATACTTAACCCCGCGACTAAGGAGATATACCTGCATGACAAGATGTATTAACTTTAGGGAGGTAGACCTACATTATGATATATAATTAGCCCCGTGACTATGGAGGTAGACCTGCATTATGATATATACTAAACCCCGCGACTAAGGAGATATACATGCATTATACTATATACTTAACCCCACGACTAGTGAGATAAACCTGCATTAGAATATATCTACCTAACCCCGCGACTAGGGAGGTATATCTATATTATTTATATATAATATATACTTAACCCCGCGACTAGGGAGGTGGACCTGCACTATGATATATACTTAACCCCGCGACTAAGGAGATATACCTGCATGACAAGATGTATTAACTTTAGGGAGGTAGACCTACATTATGATATATAATTAGCCCCGTGACTATGGAGGTAGACCTGCATTATGATATATACTTAACCCCGCGACTAGGGAGATATACCTATAGTATAATTTATACTTAGCCCCGTGACTAGGGAGGAAGACCTGCATTATGATATATACTTAACCCCGCGACTAGGGAGATATACCTATAGTATAATTTATACTTAGCCCCGTGACTAGGGAGGAAGACCTGCATTATGATATATACTTAACCCCGCGACTAGGGAGATATACCTATAGTATAATTTATACTTAGCCCCGTGACTAGGGAGGTAGACCTGCATTACATGATGTACTAACTTTAGGGAGGTAGACCTACATTATAACACTATTACCCCGCGACTTTAGGAAGGTATGAAGGCCTAAATTTACTCTTTCCCTCCGCGACGTGAGATGGTCCTACATTACAAAATTACAAAATGTACTTACTCCCTCGGATTTAACGCGGTTAGTAGGAGGTACTTACCCCCGCAACTTTAGGAAGGTAAATCTCCATGAGAAGGATTACAATGCTCAACACTATGCCTACTACCAGCAGAACCAGTGGAATGGTAAAACGTTTCATGTCGATTGGAGTGCCTTTGTTGGAGGAATTATCTGCTACGCCACCGGAAGTCCCAACTTGTGTTCTTGGGTAAGCGCCGCATTTCCCTGACCACCATTTGGACTTGAGCTCCTCCATACGCCCGTTCATTTTCAACTGTAAAATGGCAATATTGAGTCTGTCACAAATGTTTGTGTTTGGTCGGCAGGCGAAGTTGTATGTTCTGTCCCGCAGGCTATCTCCTACCACCATTAAGTCACACGATGTGGCGCTGATGTAGTAGGCAGACGCCGACTCCATGATGAACGCGTACTTTCCCTGCTTCACTCGGTCGACACCTTTCGTGGTAGACACCATCACGTTGGCGGGATTTGCAGTAAGGTACGCTGCTATCCTTCGTTCGGTGTCTCCGTTGGATTGTTTGAAAAATTGGTATGTGCTGCCTGCTCCTACTGTACCATACTGGTACTCGGTCTGCATTGCCAAGTCCCTGAATGTGCTGAATGGCAGGTCATTACCGCTACTGCTACTCGTCGAGACAAATGAAACAAGTGTAGCAGAGTACATAGAGACCAGTATGAGCGTAAAGAGTAGGGCTGTAGATACAAGGACGCGGGCGGAGAAGGCCACAGGTAGGTGCCGCATTCCTACAATTACACAAAATAGGTTACATTTGTATCACACACTGTTTAGTTGAACCGACCATTCATGTGTGATCGAATCAGTTGTAGATTTATTTTCTTTTATCTGTTGACAGATATGTTGCTAGCTGTGATATACATTTTTGCACGAGTGATTAATTCCGTCTTTTATGCAATAATTGAAAAAAAGTTGATATGCATCCAAATCGCCCTTTGTCACAAAACCAATGAAGTTACCTTGAAGAGAAGCGATTCCACACGTGATACATAGTGCCCATAATACCCCACCTTCCGTCTGATCTCCTTGTAAAGGGCTGTACCTGTAACAAAACAACATTTGATCACGTGATATATATTACCCATAATACCCCGCCTTCCGTTTACTCCTCCTGTATAGGGCTGTACATTTAACAAAACAGACTCTAATCACGTGATATATTTCTCATAATACCCCGCCTTCCTTTCGGTACTGACGCGATGACAGAACAAATGTATACGGGTATGTAGGGGTTAGTAGGAGGGACCTAAATGAGTATACTCAATCATTCACGGGAAAACGGTATTTATCTAACTGGCTGTTACCAATGGACTGAAATACGAAGTGAGAGAAGACTATGGACACTTATTTGGGTGTAAGCCGTTGGGTTCGGGGAAATAGATGTCAGAAAGCTGTTGGTTCTGTTGGGGTCAGTTGTTCTAATCGGTATCGTCCTAGTCAAGTCGTTCACATATTTGGAAATGTGTTACGTGTAGCGCGAGGGGAGGTGCTGTGAAGTGTGGTTTATTGGGTTAAGCTTTCTATTAATAGCTAAGGATGTGTCTTTATCTGGTTAAGGTATGTGTGCGTGTGTGATGGAGGCAAGGTGGAATCTTGATGTATTCGCCTCCTTGCGTTAGCGTGAATCAGATGCCGACTTCAGAGCTCCACCTAACTGAAATACCGTGCCGAAGGCACCCAGTATTCCTTATGATCCCATAATACTGACAACGAGTTAAATAGTAAAATCTTATCAATGGGCAGAGAGAAAAAATACCAATTTTGAAAACTTTTCTATCTCCGGCTAAAGAGCCAGTCGCCTACCCCACCTGTTTGAAAGTTCAACAAAAGGGCCAAAAATTAAATATTGCCAATTAAGGCACTAGAAAACATTAAAAATAGGACACAAAAGCAAGCCATGAAATTTCAGGGGTTCCCATATTAGCTGCCTCTTACAAAAAGCATTGGATAACAGCAGCTATATAGCATTTTGTCAGCAGTGAGAAAGTTTATATCTTCAAATGAAATCCCTAAACTAAAACTTCCATATTCTCTTTTACCAATGAACATTGAATTATTCCTGAAAAACAGAAAAGGCCCGAAAGATTTCTATAATATTTTTATAAAAAATAATGCTGTTCAAACAGGTAAAAAGAAGTGGAACAAAGTCTTCGACTTGAATGATTCAACATGGGCTCGACTATACAAGATTCCCTTCAGTGTTACAAAAAACACCAAACTCCAATGGTTTCAGTACAGAGTTGATCACCATATTTTAACCACAAACTCTTTTCTCTTTAAAACACATCTAGTTATTTCTCCTCTCTGTACTCTATGTAACTCTAGAAATAAAACTATTATACATGTCCTGTGGGAATGTCAAGAAGTCCAGAATTTATTAGATAGTCTAAGATTTCTACTAGATGCTCTTTTCATCCCATTTGATTACAATAAACAATCCATTATTTTTGGATTTTTATCTCAAAATTTCAATAACTGCAATGTTGATAATGGAATTCTCCTTGTTATAAAACANGAATACTGCCAATTTTTGACTCAGATGATGAAGATTTTATCTAGATTTCTTGTGTTTTCTGACCTTGGCGCGTGACGTCACTCAGACTCAGCGCGTGCTGTGACGTTGCGAGACTTTGGGAGAATTTGTAATGACCGACATTTAAACTTACATGAATACACGTAACTTTATGCTATTAAATGTGTTGCATTTTAATTATTCTTTGTTATTTTGTATTTAACCATTAATATTTAAAATGTTGTAAATCCAAAGGTACAGTTCAGTCTCAAAAAGTTTCTTTTCATTCACAGGTCCTGTGAACCATACAATGACTTTTTTTAAAGCCATGCAATGATTTTTTTTTAAGAATTTGTTTTCTATATCTCAGAATTATCAAAACAACACATTAATTATACAAAGAATGTATTAAATAAAAATAAAAGAAATACATTATCATAAAAAAAACACCAAGAGAATGCCGTTTTTTTTAATAAAACACAAGTTTCCTATAAAAAAAATCCTGGCATTGCGTCGACCTGTGTGATGATGGAAAACGACAAAAAGAGGAAAAACATAAAATGTGCATTTAGTCATATCAGATAAAATTCCTAATTACCAAGGCTACAATAGGGTTAAGTCATGTGATAAAAGCAAAACCACACATATGTGTTGATCTGAGTATTCGGGTCGCACTCGTTTGTGGCGCGGAGGGAATATATCACTCGGGCGAAGCGCACTCGTGATATATTCCCCCGCCCCCACAAACTCATGCGATCCGAATACTCAGATCAACACATATGTGTGGTATTGCCTATATATTTACGAAATGCGATTGATGCATTCAAACAATTTTATGACTTACAAAACTTTATTGCTAACAGCAATGGAGAAGCTGCCAGGATTTTTTTTTGAAAAAGATTGGAAAAAATGGGGAAATTTGCCGAGTTGTAATTTTATAGTCTAGCTCTCTTCTCTTCAATGCCGTAACAGTGCTTGCTGATTTCTCTCAAAATTAATCAGCTGCTAAAAATTGAATTTTAGATAGGAAATAGACGAAGTGAGTAGAGTAGTATGGAATTTGTAAGATGAGTGTTCTGTACAATAACACTGCTTTTCCTGTCATAACTTACAGACTACAATCTCATTATTTGTCATGCACATGTGTTTGAAAAATCCGTTACAAAAGTTACAGAAAAATAAAATAAAATAACAGCAGCTATATTATTTTCTTAATCTACAACCTACATAGTCGGTACTGATAGGGAACCATCTTATGGTGTATTTTGTCATGTTTAACTCTTCGTGTTGTACATCACATTATACAAAAATCAATACACCAGATTATACTTAATATCCAGAATATCTCGCCGTCTGTCGTCAGCTCTATTATGTATGGGGCATACTTTATAGCAAAATACACTCTAACTATCCGTTTTATAAACCATTGAGTACATTGTGAACCTGACTCTCAACACGTGTGACCGAAATACCGAATTGGCATACGTATTTCCATGACGTCATATGATACAATGACACAAACCTGCCAATGACGTAAATCACAATTCCGACCACAACGAGACTGACGATGACAGAAATCCACACTCCGGAAGTAAGCGGCCGGAAGAAGAAACCAGTGTCGTCATTGACGAGTTTTGAGAGAATGTCCAACGAAGGTTTCTTCACAAGAATTCGTAATCCGACTTCTTCGAATGGATGTGAAAAGTGTACGGCCTTCGACCTCTCTACTGTCAAGGTAAGTGCAGCCGCAGCTATATCACTCCTCTGAAAAACAGGTATCAGTTTAACATTGTATCTGTAATAATTCAAACCAAGCCCGTATTCATGAAACCGTTCTCATGCTCAAGCATGGAATTTGTGTTCAAGGCTAATTTCTTTTTCCGTTTATAAAATAATAATAAATCTTATATTGTACTTAATTTGGGGAAAAATTAGAGAAACTTAAAGCCAAATACTGTTTTCAATGTTTATATTTCATTTTTTGATAGTTTGACATGATTTAATTAAGTGAGTTACACGAAAGTTGGTTTGAGCACAACATCCATGCTTGAGCATGAGAACGGTTTCATGAATATGGGCCCTAGTTGTTGTCTATCAAGTGGTAATGTTGAAACCAACGGTTCACTAATGTGACATCATGTATTGCGTAATGTAAATAGACGTGGGCAGTAGGTGTTGGAAGCTGAGAGCACTGACAGGTAAAAGGGTGTCATTTTAGTAGGACCTTACTCAGATTGCAAGATGTAATAGTTATAGGTATGATTTAGGAAATAGCTTTTTAGCATTGCAACAAAAAAGTCATACGAAAACAGATGGGTGACTTTCCACACGGTGTTACATATGAGGTAGGCGGGTGTACGATGTTACATAACTACGGTACCGGATGTGTTGAACGATTTATTGTTCGATGATGATGATGGAAGCAACATAGTTTATTTGAATGTCAATCACGGTGCACAATAGCAGTTAAAGTGTGTATTAAATTTTGTATGAAAATATGAAAAGCTGGTACGCACGTGTAGAGTTTCATATAGTTTAGTATGGGGTCACCTACTTATTGTTTCTTGTTCTTATACCTAGGTCAGCCTCAGGGGAAATAGTAAAGTCTTTCATAAATAAAATATTTCTAATTATTAATTGACTTTCGACCAACCATAGAAAGGGTTTTTACTTCGATATTTTGTTTAGGTATAATGGCCACGAGAAAGTAGTTTCCAAAGTAACAAAGAGGTATATAATGTACATACATTGGCCACGAGATCACCCATCATCCCGTTCCAGTTGCCTTGTGAGTCCTTGCTTCCAAACCTACCATCAGCCACGTGATTGAGGACGAGAGAAACGTTCAGGATGCCCGAGATCTCGTCCAGTAAATCCGGGATATATCCCTTCATGGGTTGTTTGCTGACAAGGTAAGGACTGTGCTGAAGAGAGTCAAACAAAGTTTATCGGCACAGAACGGCGACACCAAAGAAAGTTTATTTTTATCCTAAACTGCATCTGAAAACAGGCTATTGCTTCGTTGCATCAAGATAAGCATAATACATATGTAATAATGACCATCAAGCTCATACTTGGTGATAATCAGAGAGGTGTAAACTTCGTCAAAACAGAAAACGCGTGTTTGATTTGATGGAGCACACAGTGACCTGAGAATTTGTTACGTCTATATCTGGACCTAAACTAAGGTGTTCAGAGGAAATAGAGTTGGGGGGTTTAAACCAATTTTCGGTAAAAACAAAAATGCCACCCCAATGATGATATATCTCGTATATAGGGTGGCAAATTTAAAAGAGAATTGATTTAAACCCGCCAAACGTGTAAAATTACTCTTAACACATTAGTAGTCCAATTACAGCTGTCATCAAATGATCAGGCTCCTGTGGTAGATGACCTATTATATCTATCAATATTGAAAGCCAACTACTGGGAGCGAAGCCGTTTAAATATTAGTCTGGTGTAAATTAGGAATGTGACGACATAACTTACCAGGATAGTTGTCACATAGTAAGTGGTCCTCCCACTGACACCCTGTCAAAAGGACGAATTCAGAACACATTAATACATCTATCAAAAGCCATAACAGTCGCTACATCTAGCACAATAATCACAACAATTTGTGGACGAAACCGGGAGGATGGCTGCAAATGGTCTCCACAGATAATTGCCTCAGACAATGCAATAATTAAAGATCCAGAAATCGAATGCAGGTCTGGCCGCGTAGCATTTTTACACCCAAAACGCGTTTTTTTTAATTAGTTCTGTTTACTTTTTCTTAGTTATGCCGCAAAAAGTACCCAATACATATAGTTACAGACTTCGGTGGTGTTGCAGGGGTCATGAAGTATCTATTACGTGTCCTTGCTATACTTTAATGTACACATATGACATAATCTGGCTATAATTGACGCTAGGGGCGCACAATAATCAAATAAAACATGAGTACTCTATACAAATATAAATATAGGTAATGAATGTGCTATTTAATGGTTTTATGGATTTACAATACGACTATAATGACGCTGATCCAATTGCATTCATAGCCCTTTGTGAACATTTTCTTCTTGGAAATATTATACAGGGACTTGCAGCGGAAATGTGTTTATAGGACCATAACACATATCTGCTAAAACATTCGTTGTTTAATTGTCAAGTAAATACATCAACAAACCAGCATAGCTATCATTATATATACAAGAGGCCATACCAAGCCAACAATATAAAGAAAGATATCGGTAAAGAAGCTAGTAAAGATATCTTACCTCCGAAAAGAAGCCAGTTACGACCACCATAGCGAGAAACCACGTGTATTTCCCGGTTGCCATGGTAATGCTTGAGCAAACCTGTATACACTTCACGGTAAATCGGTATTTATACTTCGAGTTCAATGTCGTGTAGGCTCCAGTGGTCGGTATCGCTATCAGAACTCTCGTATATCTAACTGAGTTCCGCGTGTTCTCGACTGGAGGGAACCAACACTGGCTAGTCGTGCACACCCTCAATACAACTGCCACGTGTAAAGCTTCACGGCCGCCGTGAGGTTTTCATCATTATATTTGATTTCTGGTCTTATTATAAGTGTCAAGCACAAAGGCAATTATCTTATCAGGATTTAATAAACTAATAATAGATTAGGTCTCGTGGTTTGCTCTTGAAATACGATATCACGTGCCTCGTGGTATCATAATGGTATAATGCTGGCGAAAACTGCAGTATGGTTCATGTGACAGGCCACACAATAAAACGACTTTGGTTTTAGTTTTGTTTTGTTTTAATAATTTTATAAGAAAAGAGCATATTTTCTGGAAAATGAAAATTTATAACACCTACAGATACTCATTTGAATATTATGTTCCCATATTTTCCTGCAGCCAATCTTCGAATACCAAACTGAACACTAAGTTGTACATTTATACTGTCAATAATCTAATATAATCTTACACAAATATTCCCTGATCTTTGTCCTCTCTTGCTCTTAAACGTATGAAACACAGAAAAGGGCCTTGTTATAAGATTTTGGAAAGGCCCACTATCAGGAAACAAATGCGAGAACCATCATCAATTGACAAATAAAATATGAGATCCGTTATCAGAAATAATACGAGATCTATAATCAGAAATATCCAAAAAACATTTTAAAAAACCAATGCGAGAACCATTATCCAATTTACGGGTACCCGTAAACCGTTTTGGTTCGTTTCAGAAATAGTGCGAGAACCATTCACAACATTGAAAAATAGAATACGAGATCAGTTATCAGAAATAATACGAGATCCATTATCAGAACCGTTACAATAAATATAAAACATCTAAGTTGGCACTCTGGCGTGTGTTCAATAGGAACCTCCGCCATTAGAGGACAGAAGAGTGTGAAATGGGGTACGTACATAGGCACATCCTTAAGTTCCCACCTGATGACCAGCTCCTAGGATGAAGCCCAACGTCACCGAGTACACAATCAGATACAAAGTGTACAATAGCACATGCATCCTTAAGTTCCCGCCTGAGGACCAGCTCCTAGGATGAAGCCCAACGTCACCGAGTACACAATCAGATACAAAGTGTACAATAGCACATGCATCCTTAAGTTCCCGCCTGAGGACCAGCTCCTAGGATGAAGCCCAACGTCACCGAGTACACAATCAGATACAAAGTGTACAATAGCACATGCATCCTTAAGTTCCCGCCTGATGACCAGCTCCTAGGATGAAGCCCAACTTTACCGAGGACACAATCAGTTACAAAGTGTATAATAGCACATGCATCCTAAAGTTCCCGCCTAATGACCAGCTCCTAGGATGAAGCAAAAATTTATCGAGTACACAATCAGCTTCAAAGTGTACAATAGCACACGCATCCTTAAGTTCCCGCCTAATGACCAGCTCCTTGGATGAAGCCCAACTTTACCGAGTACACAATCAGCTACAAAGTGTACAATAGCACACGCATACTTAAGTTCCCGCCTAATGACCAGCTCCTAGGATGAAGCAAAAATTTATCGAGTACACAATCAGCTTCAAAGTGTACAATAGCACACGCATCCTTAAGTTCCCGCCTAATGACCAGCTCCTTGGATGAAGCCCAGCTTTACCGAGTACACAATCAGTTACAAAGTGTCCAATAGCACATGCATCCTTAAGTTCCCGCCTAATGACCAGCTCCTAGGATGAAGCCCAACTTTACCGAGTACACAATCAGCTACAAAGTATACAATAGCACATGCATCCTTAAGTTCCCATCTGATGACCAGCTCCTAGGATGAAGCCCAACTTTACCGAGTACACAATCAGTTACAAAGTGTATAATAGCACATGCATCCTAAAGTTCCCGCCTAATGACCACCTCCTAGGATGAATCCCAACTTTACCGAGCACACAATCAGCTACAAAGTGTACAATAGCACATGCATCCTTAAGTTCACATCTGATGATCAGCTCCTAGGATGAAGCCCAACGTCACCGAGTACACAATCAGCTACAAAGTGTACAATAGCACATGTATCCTTAAGTTCCCATCTGATGACCAGCTCCTAGGATGAAACCCAACGTCACCGAATACACAATCAGCTACAAAATGTACAATAGCACATGCATCCTTAAGTTCCCATCTGATGACCAGCTCCTAGGATGAAGCCCAACTTTACCGAGTACACAATCAGCTACAAAGTGTATAGTAACAAATGCATCCTTAAGTTCCCACTTGATGGCCAGCTCCTAGGATGAAACCAAACGTCCCCGAGTCCACAATCAGCTACAAAGTGTACAATAGCACATGCATCCTTAAGTTCCCACTTGATGGCCAGATCCTAGGATGAAGCCCAACGTCACCGAGTACACCACCTGATGACCAGCACCTAGGATGAAGCCCAACGTCACCGAGTACACAATCAGCTACAAAGTGTCGAGTAACTTAGCATTATGGAGGCACATCCAAACCTACAAATATTTTAGAATCTGTTCAGAATTGGTACACAGAATTCTAAAGCCAGTAACTACACCTAAGTATATCAGACACACGGCGTGGTTTTTATTACTTCTGTCTCGGTTTTCTATTTTCTGTCTTATCTTTTACCGCTCTTTTCACCCTGGGCCTGTTCGTTTATGCGGCACAACCGGTTTGACCGTTTATAAATGTAACAATTTTGGGTATAAATCCTGGCGAATCTGTTTATGCAGGCCTTGTAAGACTTTGTCATGTCCGACCTTATCTAATAAACGAACAACCGTGGTCCGACCGGTTTGGCAGTTTAAACGAAAACGGCCCTTGTTTATTGACCAGTCGGGCTAGCCACAACGGTTGAGTGCGTTTTTTATGTGCTTGTCTTTCCTGTGTCTATCGTCCTGCTATGTGATGATGTTGTTGCATCTGTTGAGGATTGTACGTACGACTCCAAACTTTTGGTGTAGTGGTTGGTGGGAATTGAAAGCCAAGTATTGATCAGTGTGTGTCGGTTTGCGGTACACTAATAGTTTAATGGTGCCGTTTTCTTTGCGGACGATGAGCGTGTCCAAGAATGGTATGGTTGCATCCTTTTAGGTAAATTTAATGGATTTTTTTGCCCACATGGTTCAGGTGATCTGTTAGGCCCTGCATTGCTCCCTTTTTGACTATTTCTAGGATGTCATCCACATATACCGTTTTCAAAGTTTGGGGTCGCATTCCATGGGTGCCGATTTAACGTATTTCTGTTGGTACACCTGACCTCTGAACACTCAATATGTCGTGCCCATGACAAAATTTAGTAGTTCAATGATGTTGTCTACTGATATGTTTGTTCTTTTCTGGAGTGTATTGTCAGCTTTTAATCTCTCTCTGATGTTAGTGATAGCCCCTTGTACTGGTGTGTTGGTAAACAGTGAAACCACGTCGTGGGAGTTGAACATGTCCTGTTCGTCAATAATTACATTTTCCAAGTCAGATGCTAAATGTTTGGAATTCTTGACATGGTATTGTGTTGTACCTACCAATCGCGACAGTTTATCTGCTAATGATCGTGACATATTGTAACCAATCGACTCAGTGTAGTCCACTATAGGACGCAATGGGTAGCCTGGATTATCGATTTTGGGCGTGCAATACAGATGAGAAACAGTTGAGGATGTTAGCGATGCTTTATTATCTCTCGATACCTCGAAAGCTACGTACTGGTCAAGACCTGATGAATCCACGTCCATTAAAAGAGGATGCAAATTAATTATCTTTGCCTTTTTGCACCCTTTTTAACTTATTAATACAAACTTGCATATTTCCAGACTCTTGGAAAATAGTATTAGAGAGGTGTATGTTCAATTTGTTTTGTTTACATGAGTATACTTTAGTTACAAGATGCCCAGTCTGGATTTCGTCCCGGCGATTCCACAGTAAATCAATTATTGGCTATTACAAATGATTTGGGAAGGGCAGTTGATTCCGGAAAAAGAGTAAGAGCTGTGTTTTGTGATTAAAGCAAGATATTTGACCGTGTGTGGCACAAATGCCTTATATACAAACCTATTATGAATGGATTAAGCGGTAATGTATTTCAATGGTTCAAACACTATTTAACTAACAGAAAACAAAAAGTTGTAATTAACGAGGTAGAATCATACTTGCCAGATATCAAGGCTGGTGTTCTTCAAGGCTCGATATTAGGGCCTCTTATGTTTGTAATTTTGTCTCTGTAATCAAGCTTTTTGCTGACGACACCTCAATTTATAACAAAGTTGATACGCCCTTTTTTGGCAGCTGAACGACTTAATAATAACTTTGAAAAAATCAATAATTGGGCTAAATTTTGGCCACTGGATTTCAATCCACAAAAATCTAAGGGTATGATCATAACTAAGAAAAGAGTCTTTCCAAATCATCCTTTCCTATATCTTAATAATGTCACCATAGAAAATGTGAACTGCCACAAACCTTTAGGTGTTACGTTGTTTGAAGATTGTACTTGGTCTATGCATGTTGATGACATTATCAACGTGGTGACGATTAACGGAAAATACGTTTTACCTTTGATAGAAAAAGTTGTACTTTTATAAGACCCATTTTGATATATTCTGACGTCGTCTGGGACAATCCAACTACTGAATATGTAAATAAGCTTGAGAAAATTAACCAGGAGGCAGCGAGAATAGTGTGCTGGTGCCACAACACTTACAAACCTAACTTAGTCGTATATACACTGAAGAAACCGGATGAGAAATTTAAGTGACAGAAGGAAAAAAACATAAATTGACACAATTTTTTAAAATGTTCATCTTCTCACTCCTGATTATCTTTCCAAGCATGTACCTCCTAGCATGTCTGAAATACATAACTACAGCACTAGGCATGGTAACGATCTTACAGGTATCAGATGCACTACTGAGTTTTATCGTAAGTCTTTCCAACTCTCAGTTATTTTTCTTTGGAATGATATTCCTGAGGAGATCCGTTTTAATCCTTCGTTGCCCAACTTCAAAGCCTATCTCGACCAAAACTCCATGACGCCCCATGCATGTTATTATGTAGGATCGAGACAATGTCAAATATATCATACGGGACTACGTCTCGGATGCAGTTTTCTTTGAAACGTC